TTTTAAAGAAGGTTCATTTGTAGAACTAAATCACTTACATGTACAGCTCTCATGTATATTTTTCAGTGGTGAGATAGAACCTTATAACGGCATCCTATTCATTAAAGCCGTAGAATGATTGCGTCGCCCTGGCACCTTCTAAGACTTCCATCAATACCAGTGAATAATGATTAATCCTTCGCTTCTAATGCTCTATGTTATGTCTTATCGCATACATGTCAATCAATGTCAGGTGGAGAAGAAAAGAGAAGAGGACTCATGAAAAGCATCGGTAACTCAAAGCTTCATCAGAACACGGTGCTAACTGATGGTTACTACATTTCATAAGGGCACCTGTACATTACACATAGGGCCATGCATCTCAGACTTAAAGGGGAAGTCCACCCTGAAATTAAGTTAGTTTTAATAGGAGTAGAAAAATGAGAGAAACAAGTCAGTGAAAGTTTGAGCAAATTCCGATTAAAAATAAGGAAGTTAGGATTTTTGAAGTTGTGATCAATCAAACACAAATTGGCAACTCTATGACGTATCATGCGAGCTCAACTTCCATTTGCTCAGTACTAAAAAAATCTAAAATCTTCATTTTCCCTCAAGAAAAATTTCAACCATACATGCACCCTAAATATAATAATTGCAAATATGTTTCTATACTCCCTGCAAGGAACAAATATATATTCCATCATCAATAACGAAGAAAACATGATTTTATGGAATATTATGCACAAAGCAAATGAAGGAGAGCTCGTATAATAAGTCACAGAGTTGCCAATTTGTATTTGATTGATCACAACTTCAATAATTCATAACTTTCTTATTTTCATTCAGAATTTGCTCAAACTTTCACTCACCTGATTTTCTTATTATTCTGCCTCTATCGAAACAAACTTATTTTGGGGGTGGACTTTCCCTTTAACACTGTTAAACGATGCCTTTAATTCTGTTCTTCCTGACGGCCCTGCAATTATTCTTGTCTACAGTACAATTTGAAACTGTTCTAAACATGTCTATCTGAATAAATAAAGACTAAATGGACAGAGGGCTCATATGAACTGAAATACATCAGTTTCCAGGTCACTTGCGCTTAATAGATTCAATAAGGCGTCATCGACATGTATGCGGACAACTACCCCTAACCTCACACCTCTCTCTCTCTCGTACACTCCAAATCACCTGCCGTAAGTGTGAAAACTCCCCTCATCTTCCACTCAATCCCGTTGATACACTGCCAGCATTCACACCTTGATGACCTATACCCCATGATCAGCGTTCATACATTATTGTAATCTACTCCTGTCGCAATCGCTGCATTCACACATCGGGAATGCTCCCCAGGGAGTGGAGAATGTGCATACATTGTGTGTGGGTAAGCATGAATCCAATGACTGGAGTAATAATATATATCTGTAAAGTGTATTGAGAGTGCCTGCGGTCCTGAAATGCGCTATATAAGGATAAACTATTATTATTCATATTATCGTAATCTACCCACAATCGTTGCACATTGTAAATTACCCACAAAGGCAAACCCACAAAAAAGGAGGAAAATTTACCCAGAGGGCTGAGAATTTTGCCAGGGGGCATGAATCTTTAGGATACCACTGCCATGAAGTAATAATATCTTGCTGGTTTAATGTGTACATGAAGAAAAAAATGACACAGTAATTACTGAAATTATTCAGCCTTTTTTCTGGCGCCATTTTAGCAACATCTGCCACTGAATTTAGAATGCTACAAGTTACTTGCTTTTTGTATTCGCCCTTTATTTGATTTGACTTTTACTTAATTATGACTTTAGAGCGTAAATTGATTCCTTCTCTCTATGAACAAACCACAAAGGTGTCGTACAACTCTTTTTCTTCTTCTTTTTCAATTGCAGTACAGGCCACTATCAGGTGTATTGCCGTACTGTTGAGGTGCAGTGCAGATGTATGTATGATGTCTGATAAAAGGTACAAATTACGATAATTTTTTTTATAGAGATGGTTGCTACTTCAAAATCGTAAAAATATCAGACATGATGAAGCTTCTCGTCTTGCCCTCATAAAAATTAACTAAAAATAAGCTTTAGTATGTCTTTTTCATACAACTTTTGGAAATGCATGTTTGACACAAAACCAATAATTTTTTTAAATTTCCAACAACATTAAAGAAAATAACTACCATAGTGAAATAAAAATACTTTTGAAATACCATATTAGAAGAAAATGATTGTACATTGTATAATTTAGTAAATTGCCGTTAAAAATGCATGGAATATAGGTAGTTTAGAACCCTCAGTTATAAATAGCAAAAGAGGTGTTGTGGACGAGTGGAAATGTCACTGGACTGTGGATCACAAGGTCCGTGGTTCAACTCCTACCGTGGCACTAATGTCCTTTGGCAAGACATTGGAATGCTCCCCAGGGAGGAAAGAGTGTGCATACATTGTGTGCGGGTAAGCCTGAATCCGATGACCGGGGTAATATATCTGTAAAGCGCTTTGAGAGGGCCTTCGGTCCTGAAAAGCGCTATATAAGAGCTAGCTATTATTATTATTATTATTAAAAGATCAAATTTGAATATAAACACAAGGTGTGAAACATATCCTAAAAGCTTTTTTACTTCCGGCTTTTTTAATGATTTTTCTAATGGTTTGTCACTCAAACGTGATCTCTTTCTCCACTACACATATCTGAAGGGATTTGTGAATAGACGAACAAAGATTAACTTTCAAGAGCGGGTGCTCAAAGGATAAGTGCTAAATAAAGTACCCCTGATGGTTTGAATTAAAATTCTTTGCCACCCACATTTATAGACTTAACAAAAGATTCCCAAAAAGGTTGAGAAAGTCACAGAAATATTTCCTCACAAATGAATTTAACTCTTCCCTAATACTAATAGACAAATATCAAGGGGGTCTATTCAGAACTCGGAAGTAAAAACGAAAGGGTATCAATTGAGCAATATAAGTCTATTTCAAACGAGGGGTTCTGCAGAACTTCCGATTCTAATTCACTTAAAGCAGTTAGGGAGAAATAATATCAAGTCATTTCGTTGAGTCATTTCATTTTCAGGTCTTGCTGATATCTGAAGAACCACCTCCAAAAATACAGAAGCAAAATGTAATCGAGCGATTGTAATATGCTTCATATTTCTCTTACACCAACATCTCCCTATTTAAACCCCATGTGGAGTTAACTTTCACATAAAATAGTTTTATATTTCTGCTGGGTTTAGTTTTGTTTTGAGAACACGATCGCAAATATTTTTGAAAAATCAACTGAAGGGCAATTTCAATACCCTATTGTATGTCCTATGGAAATCATGTTCAGATTATGTAACTTTACTTACTTTACTTTAATACACGATGTTGTAGGTCTAAGTCTGTTCATCGATCCAGGATTCTTCCATGATTACTGCTATTTGTGGAGGGAGGAGGTTGTGTAATTAATATGAGACAATAGACAACACCTAGACCGGCTCATACAAAAGGCTTACATTCTTTGACCAGTGACTATCAAGTCTATTCTTAAATGAGTTTACCGACCCAGCTGCCATAACGTTTTCTGGGAGACCATTCCACAGTTCCACAACTCTATTGCTAAAAAAGTATTTTCTTATATCTAGCCTTGAATATTTCTTTTCAAGTTTTCTGGAGTGACCTCGAGTTCTATCTTCTGTACTCATCACTATTGTCATTTTCACACATTTTGATAGGTGACGCACAATTCTAATAAAATTGCCTTGCATGTAGGTTGATTTTTTTCTGAAGTAGTTGCTTTCATGTTTGAGGCAGTTTACCCCCATCATGTATAAATAAGGCGTCACATTTTAAAGGTAAAGATCAGTTTTCGAAATGCCCCCCTCTCAAAAAGATGAAATGGAAGCTCTTATTACCAATCATGTGAAAGAATATATGTTTTGACTAATAGGTGGTGGTACAAATTTTGCTGACAAACCGCCTACTAATTGATATATTTGATAAATTATTATTTCTATTTGGACCTGATAGATATCGTGCATTTGTCGCGCAAGTGTCGCGTAGTCCCATATACATCTTTCTGTGTACAGTGCTTGTAACTTTACTGAGACTGGGCCAAATTTCTTATCATTTTGATGATTCCAGAACCTTGCAGTACACACCAATACCTATATGCTAGATGATCAACCTTTTCTGATCAATTCCACAACGTTTCTTTCACAATGCAATTGCATGACCATTACTGGTCTTTATCTTTAAAGTTCTTCTTCCGGTTACATCGGCCTCCTTCAGATTTGGAGTTGTTGGAGGGGGACTGATCAGAGATGGATGCATGTTTATCTGGAAGGATGTAATGATGATGATGATGATGTCATCTCAAACAAAGCAGTCAGAACCATACCTCAAGCCCAAGGTATCATCTGAGGCCCGTTTCACAAAGCCTTTTTTCAATGACAAATGACAAAAATCAGTAACAAATCTGCTTATAACCAATCAGAAGCAAGGATTTCAGTAGCTTACAGGGGTGTATAACCAAAAACTGTCATTTGTCACTGATGGCAAGGTTTCTGAAGCCCCCCCCCCCCCCCCCATGGATGTTATATCATCTATTAGGAGCCTGAAGGGAGTCAATTCTACACAAAGTGACAGAATGTTATGTCACTTTCTGACAATGATCAATATAGATCAGCTGGAGGAGAATGAATTGAATGAAGGTCTCTATATTTCTATCCTTGGGCCAAGCATGCTAAACTGAGAACATTGAGCTAAGTATACTTGATACGTACCGGTACATGTAGCTGCAAGGAGTGCCATGAAATACAGAAATGGTGTGTGGATACAGCACTTATCAATTTACAGTAACAATTATGCTAGGTCCAGTGCAAGTAACTTTGACAACGCCAGTAAATCTTTGCAGTGGTGTTTTTGATGCGCTATGGGAGGGCATTACAAGTCTTATTAACAAATTTTAAATGTAACAAATTTAAGTCTGAAAGGTGTAATAACACATCTATTCAAGAAGATTCAAGATTCGACTCACCTCAGCTTAGACCGATGATGGACCAGCAAAACAATCGGCCCAGAACTGACAGAAATTCAAAGACACACCCAGAGGAAGATCCTTTCCTTTTACAGCTAACAATTTTGACATCCAAATGGTCTGTAAAATGTTGGACACAAATGCTCATTCAAATCAAAGAGTTCAATTTCGCCTTGTCATAATCATTTTAATGTTCCTGTTTGATCCTCATTAAGCAAGTTTTCTACATGTAACTGGTCAATTCTGAAGACTGCAGTGAAATCTTAATGTTAAATTGAAAGAGAAAATATAGCAGCATCTTTAAGTTAACAAGTTTAACATAACTTCCACAACTTTCCCAAGCAGATGTTGGCCTACAGTAGGGAATTTGAAAGCTCCTGGCCAGGCAAAATAGACTCGCATTCGACTGCTGAAGTAAGCACTCTAAGCTATACTACTAGTATTACATAATTAAAGGGCTTCCCAAGTCCAATACAGTATCAGTTTCAATGATGTCTTTTTTGTTGTCGTTATTTGACTTAGAGAGGGAAGAAAATCATGAGTTTCACCAGTTGGTGACGAATAATCCAGCTTATGTGATTAGCTTACTCATGAATAAAACAGTGAAAGTTAATAGCTTTATTTGTAAAGCTTCTCCTACGCAGTCCAAGCGAAGCCTTCCTCATGCACCACCACCACCACGCAACTACCAGGCCGGTGGGCGGGGCACAAAGACAACTCAGTGGACCGTTACATAACTTTTACAAGAACGGTAATTCCGATCGAAGAAATTGTTCAGGATTGTTCTGATGAAAGCAAAGTAGGCCCAAAGCAGGGCCAAAGCCAAAGAACTACAATAAGCTCACCTGATTTCGGTCATTGTTTGGGTCTAATCTGGATATCTGGCATCAGTCATTCAGTGTCTTGGCGGCGCTTTCTTCCATGTTCCAAGTTGCGACCATATATGCACAGGTTTTTCCTGATGATAGCGATTGCGCAATAATAATTTGAGTGGACAGTGCAGTGTACAGCGCGCGCATATCTTTGGAGTGGAAGCAATGTAGAAAGTGACCTCGATCATGATGCCGAGCTAATTATTAATAGAAGAATTATGGATCAAAGTTTCACTTTGAACACCTGTTCTAATGCCATTCGGGATTATATTTATTTAATGTTTAGACTAATGATAGAAAGATGTTACATGTTTTGGAGGTCCCTGCAACCAGGGGCGTACGCAGGATTTTTCCAGGGGGGGGGGGGGGGGGGGGGGGTTTAAAATATTTTGCTCCCGAAAATTTGAAAATTGCGCCGGCCGAAAAGTCGCTCTGTGGGGGGGTGGGGGGGGGGGGGGGGGGGGGGGGGGGGGGTAAGCGGACCCATTTTTTTTTTTTTTGGTCTCGAAATTTCAAAAATTGACATTTTTTGTCGTTGGGGGGGGGGGGGAGGTAAGGTCACCTTATTTAGGTTAGTCGTGGGTATATATATATATATTTTTTTTTTTTTTTTTTTTAATAAAAAAAAAAGGGGGGGGGGGTTTTAGGTTTTTTTAGGGGGGTTTACATACATACAAATACCAAAGGGGGGGGTTTGAACCCCCAACCCCCCCCCCCCCCCCCCCCCCCTGCGTACGCCCCTGCCTGCAACTATGAAAAGCACAAAATAGCGAGATTACGGATACTGGACATTTCGTAACATGAATCTTTATTTCATTAAAAAAAAAAAAATCTAACCAAATTGATTGATTGATTATCGAATACATATGTTCATTATTTAACTTGATATTTCATTCATGATTTGTTGAACAAATGACTTGTAACAAACTACCGAAACCTATTTTTAAACTGTTAATCTATTCCGAAATTCACTGCCCATAAAAGACATCATTGAAATGGGATAGAGATAAAATCGGATCGGACAGTAAGAGAAAGATATCACAAATAAGGCAGATAGAGGGATATGGAGAGAGAGATGGAGAGATAGAGTGACAAAGAGAGACAGAGAAACATAGAGGGATGGAGACCAAGCAAGAGAGAGAGGTAGAAAGAGAGAGAGAGAGAGAGAGAGAGAGAGAGAGAGAGAGAGAGAGAGATGGGGGTAGAGGAAAGGGTAATATATACCGGAAACATAAATTCATTCCCTCTCTCGGCAAGCCTAACCGCAAGTAACAGTTCTCTCTTCACGATGCAGATGTACTCGGTTCGATTCCCGGCTACGCCTTTTCTACCTCGCGTTTTTTTCGTCATCTCTTTTTTTTTGTTTAGGGGAAACCCCCTCCCCCTCAATAAAGGAGTACAAGTAGTTTATCAGCATATTTTTTAAAGTCATTAACTTCAGAAAGCATTAACATCTTGACCCGAACAAGTTAATAACAGTGAAGCACAGTGGTCATGTGGATAAGACATCGCTTCACAATGTAGATGTACTCGGTTCGATTCCCGGCTACGCCTTTCTACCTCGCGTTTTTTTTTTCCGTCATCTCTTTTTTTTGTTTAGGGGACACCCCCTCCCCCTCAAGAAAGGAGTACAAGTAGTTTCTCAGCATATTTTTTAAAGACATTAACATCAGAAATTGTTAACATCTTGAACCGAACAAGTTAATATCAGTGAAGCACAGTGGTCATGTGGATAAGACATCGCTTCACAATGCAGATGTACTCGGTTCGATTCCTGGCTACGCCTTTCTACCTCGCGTTTTTTTTTTCGTCATCTCTTTTTTTTTGTTTAGGAGACACCCCCTCCTCCTCAACAAAGGAGTACAAGTAGTTTCTCAGCAATTTTTTTAAAAACATTAACATCAGAAAGTGTTAACATCTTGAACCGAACCAGTTAATAACAGTGAAGCACAGTGGTCATGTGGATAAGACATCGCTTCACAATGCAGATGTACTCGGTTCGATTCCCGGTTATGCCTTTCTACCTCGTGTTTTTTTTTAGCAATTTATTCTTCATATTGATTTGTCCTTCTCTCTTTTTTTGTTTGAGGGGAAACCCCTCTTCCTCAACAAAGGATACAATTAGTTTATCATCATATTTTTGAAAGTCATTAACTTCAGAAAGTGTTAACATCTTGAACCAAACAAGTTAATATCAGTGAAGCACAGTAGTCATTTGGATAAGACATCGCTCACAATGCAGATGTACTCGGTTCGATTCCCGGTTATGCCTTTCTACCTCGTGTTTTTTTTAGCATTTTATTCTTCATATTGAATTGTCCTTCTCTTTTTTTTTTTTTTTTAAGCGGGCAACCCCTCTTTCTCAACAAAGGAGTAAAATTAGTTTTTCAGCATATTTTTGAAAGTCATTAACATCAGAAAGTGTTAACATCTTGAACCGAACAAGTTAATATCAGTGAAGCACAGTGGTCATGTGGATAAGACATCGCTTCACAATGCAGATGTACTCGGTTCGATTCCCGGCTACGCCTTTCTACCTCGCGTTTTTTTTCATCTCTTTTTTGTTTGTTTAGGGGCCACCCTCTCCTCCTCAACACAGGAATACAAGTAGTTTATCAGCATATTTTTTAAAGTCATTAACATCAGAAAGTGTTAACATCTTGCACCGAACAAGTTAATATCAGTGAAGCACAGTGGTCATGTGGATAAGACATCGCTTCACAATGCAGATGTACTCGGTTCGATTCCTGGCTATGCCTTCTTTTACCTCGTATTTTTTTAAGCATTTTTTTCTTCATATTGAATTGTCCTTCTCTTATTTGTTTGTTTAGGGGACACCCCCTCTTCCTCAACAAAGGAGTACAAGTAGTTTATCAGCACATTTTTTTGAAAGTCATTAACATCAGAAAGTGTTAACATCTTGAACCGAACAAGTTAATAACACTGAAGCACAGTGGTCATGTGGAAAAGACATCGCTCACAATGCAAATGTACTCGGTTCGATTCCCGGCTCCGCCTCTCTACCTAGCTTTTTTTTAATCATTTTGTTTCTTCATATTGAATTGTCCTTCTCTTTTTTTTTTGTTTAGGGGACACCCCCTCTTCCCCAAAAAGGAGTACAAGTAGTTTATCAGCATATTTTTTGAAGTCATTAACATCAGAAAGTGTTGAACCGAACAAGTTAATATCAGTGAAGCACAGTGGTCATGTGATAAGACATCGCTTCACAATGCAGATGTACTCGGTTCGATTCCCGGCTATGCCTTTGTACCTCGTGTTTTTTTAAGCATATTTTTCTTCATATTGAAATGTCCTTCTCTTTGTTTTTGTTTAGGGGACACCCTCTCCTCCTCAACAAAGGAGTACAAGTAGTTTATCAGCATATTTTTAAAGTCATTAACATCAGAAAGTGTTAACATCTTGAACCAAACAAGTTAATATCAGTGAAGCACAGTGGTCATTTGGATAAGACATCGCTCACAATGCAGATGTACTCGGTTCGATTCCTGGCTATGCCTCTCTACCTAGCTTTTTTTTAATCATTTTTTTTCTTCATATTGAAATATCCTTCTATTTGTTTTTGTTTAGGAGACACCCTCTTCTCCTCAACAAAGTAGTACAAGTAGTTTATCAGCATATTTTTTAAAGTCATTAACATCAGAAAGTGTTAACATCTTGAACCGAACATGTTAATATCAGTGAAGCACAGTGGTCATGTGGATAAGACATCGCTTCACAATGCAGATGTACTCGGTTCGATTCCCGGATACGCCTTTCTACCTCGCGTTTTTTTTTCATCTCTTTTTTGTTTGTTTAGGGGCCACCCTCTCCTCTTCAACAAAGGAATACAAGTAGTTTATCAGCATATTTTTTAAAGTCATTAACATCAGAAAGTGTTAACATCTTGAACCGAACAAGTTAAGATCAGTGAAGCACAGTGGTCATGTGGAAAAGACATCGCTCACAATGCAGATGTACTCGGTTCGATTCCCGGCTCTGCCTCTCTACCTAGCTTTTTTTTAATCATTTTTTTCTTCATATTGAATTGTCCTTCTCTTTTTGTTTGTTTAGGGGACACCCCCTCTTCCCCAACAAAGGAGTACAAGTAGTTTATCAGCATATTTTTTGAATTCATTTACATCAGAAAGTGTTAACATCTTGAACCGAAAAACTTAATATCAGTGAAGCACAGTGGTCATGTGGATAAGACATCGCTTCAAAATGCAGATGTACTCGTTTCGATTCCCGGCTATGCCTTTCTACCTCGTGTTTTTTTAATCATTTTTTTTCCCATATTGATTTGTCCTTCTTTTTGTTTGTTTAGGGTACACCCCCTCTTCCTCAACAAAGGAGTAAAATTAGTTCATCATCATATTTTTGAAAGTCATTAACATAAGAAAGTGTTAACATCTTGAACCGAACAAGTTAATATCAGTGAAGCACAGTGGTCATGTGATAAGACATCGCTTCACCATGCAGATGTACTCGGTTCGATTCCCGGCTATGCCTTTGTACCTCGTGTTTTTTTAAGCATATTTTTCTTCATATTGAAATGTCCTTCTCTTTGTTTTTGTTTAGGGGACACCCTCTCCTCCTCAACAAAGGAGTACAAGTAGTTTATCAGCATATTTTTTAAAGTCATTAACATCAGAAAGTGTTAACATCTTGAACCAAACAAGTTAATATCAGTGAAGCACAGTGGTCATTTGGATAAGACATCGCTCACAATGCAGATGTACTCGGTTCGATTCCCGGCTACGCCTTTCTACCTCGCGTTTTTTTTTCATCTCTTTTTTGTTTGTTTAGGGGCCACCCTCTCCTCTTCAACAAAGGAATAC